CTATGCAAAATTGGATTTAGAATTAATGATGCATGTACTTTTTGTAATGATGAACCTGAGAATTTATATCGCCATTTCCATGAATGCCCTCACTCCAAAACGTTCTGGACTGATTTCGAATTGTACTGGTACATCTATCGGATCAGCCAATCCATCTTTCTGCACAAAACGTTTCACTTGGAGTTTTATCCCAGCAATGCCCTTTATCAAATTTATTAAACTATTTCATAATAATTGGAAAATTATTTTTGTGGGACTGCGGAAGAAGCCAAACACTTCCTAAAATTCAAGGACTGCAATCAAACCTTAAGATTAAATATGAAACTGAAAAAAATATCAACAAGAAAAACTTCTTTTTAAAAGAAATGGGTGCTCACTCCAATATAATTAATTATGTCCATCTTATTTTATCACCTTTTTACTTTAATAAGTAGCATCAGTTAATCATATTATTTTGTAAGCAGTATAAGAAGTGGTATCGTAAGTTAAATAAGTAATCATATTGTTTTGTTGAGTAAGTTATGCAAATTGTATTATTGTAAGTAGCACTTGTAATTGCATTGAATTGTAACTAGTGTAAGTAGTGCGTAAGTAACTGAATTGTATAGAAAATGTTTTGTCCGTAATGTAATGGACTTAAGTAGTTGTATTACTTTTGTAAATAGTGTAAGTAGACGTACCATTGTTTGTAAGTAGTGTGAATCACAATTAAAGAGTCAAAAAACAAATGGTAGACTTATACTAATTATTAATTACACTCATACAAATCAACAGTAAAATTTTTACTCACATTTTCTTCAACTAACCATTTGCAATTGTTTTTGTACATCATATTTAACTTTACACTTTAGAAAAATCTTGTGGACTGAATTGTCATTTGAAATTTCCTATTGTGTACATGCTCATCAGTTTCTTCAACTTTTTCTAGTTTTCTTAAAGTCACAAAACTGTGAATGCCCTACAGTTTAGTCTCCTCGGGAATTTAATGATCCATTTGTATTTGACTGTACTTCCCTAACTTTGCAAAAACAAGAAAACGTCACTATTTTACAGAAGACCTCCAGCCACTGCATTCCAATGGCTGATAGTATACAAGTAGCTCAGCCAATCAGATTGCAGCATTTGCACTAGTATACAGTTGACTCCCGATAACTTGAACCCTCGCTAACTCGAACCCCCGCTACTTCAAAGTAATTTTCATTTCCCTTCAGGCCATTTTCTATATAATTTTACCCTCAATAACTCAAACTCCCAATAACTCAAACCTTTTACTATTTCCCCTGAA